TCTTTATCTTCCCTAACTTTCAGCATTATTTTACTCAGTTGACATCCTTCTTGAAATGTTTCTCAGTCTCTGGTATATCATATTCTTTTACTCCACAAGCTGCTCCTTATACCATTCTCTTCCTCTCCCTTCCCATAAATGCTGATGTTCGCTAAGATACAGTCCTTGGATCTCATCACTTCTCAAGCTGCACCCAATAGATGATCTCATTTTGTCTTCTGGGCTTATACTCTAATAGTGTATCTCCAGGCCAGACCTTCCCTTGAACAATAGATAACATATACCTGTGGTTCACTTGATGTCTCAAATTGGATGTCTTATAGGCATCTCAAGGTTAGTCTGGTTTTCTCCACATGACGTCTTTCTCAATTTGCTCTTTCACCCTATTAGAAGCATCTATAAGATAGACCAAAGGTGACATCATATTGGCTCTCTCTTTGTTTTTTTTATTTGTTTAGGCCTCTGCATTAAATACTGGAAACTTTCCTAAACTACCTAGTGATCCTTGGCTGCCTGTGTTATATGTTAACTTCCACTGAGCCCTTATTTTCAGGAGAGTAAATCCACCCACACCTGTTTCTTGTGTCCCATTTCCCCCCACATCTCTAGATAGTCTGTTGCTAGGATGGAGGAAAGGACATTTGCTTGGGTGCTTGAGATAAGAGAGGGATCTGGGGCTGACTTTGAACCATTCTACTCTTTAACTCTATATTCACTTCATGTTATGGATTGAATTGTGCCTCCCGAAAAAAAAATGAATGTAGAAATCTTAATAACTGTACCTGTGAATGTGACCCTGTTTAGAAACAAATGTTTCATTTTTCTTATACTAATGAGGTCACACCAGAGTAGGGTTGGTTTTAAGTTTAATCACTTCTGAATGACGCCTTATAAAAAAGCAAAATAGACATTGAGAGACACACACATAGGAGGAAGACAGACATCATGTGAAGGTCCCTCTACAGGCCAAGGAATGCCAAGAAATGCCCCAGGCTACAAGAGAGGACCCTCCCCTACAGCCAATGCTCTGATTTGAACTTTTAGTCTCCAAATTCATTAAACAATAAATTCTTATTCTTTGAGGCCACTCATTTGTATTTTTTGTTATGGCAGCACCAGGTAACTAAGATACCCTACTTCTCAAGGTACCTGGGGCTGCCACATCTTAAGTCTTTTGGAGGTTCTACAACGTAAAGCTTCTTCATTGCTGGCTTAATATTTAGCTTGCTTGTTGTCTACTAAGTTAGCATTCACTGGCCTGCTTTCCAAATATTTTGTTGAAGTTGAGTCTTCTCCATTTCCTACAATAAGAGATCTCTCGGTGATCTTCTCCTCCTAGTGTTCATGCCTTTGTTCACTACTCTTGAGTATTAGTCAGGACCTGTGACCTGCTTCTGATCAATAGAATATGGCCAAATGGTGAGATGCTACTTCTGTGATTTGTTAATTATTGTTAGGTGCCATTGAGTCAGTTCTAACTCACAGTAACACCATATACAACAGAGTGAAATGCTGCCCAGTATTGCACCATCCTTGCAATCCTTGCTATGTTACCCCGTTATTGCAGCCACCATGTAATTCCATCTTGTTAAACATTGTCCTCTTTTTGGCTGACCCTCTACTTTATCAAGCATGATGTCCTTCTCCAGGGATTGGTCCCTCCTGATAAAATGTCCAAAGTACGTGAGATATAGTCTGGCCATCTTTGCTTCTAAGGGGTATTCTGGCTATACTTCCTCCAAGACAGATTTGTTCATTCTTCTGACAGTGCATGGTGTAGTCAATATTCTTTGCCAACACCACAATTCAAATGCATCAATTCTTCTGTGGTCTTCATGTCTGTGATTACCTTACATTACATAAGCCTTCATCTTACAATAAGATGGAAGCTAAAGACCCTCCTTGGAGTCTTTGTGAATTAAGTAGCTGTATTAGAGAAGCTCATGTGACAAGGCAATGTGGAGGCCCTTAGGATCTGAGAGTAGCCTGTAGCCAACAGTCAGAAAAAAGCCGGAGCTCTCCATCCTATAACTGCAAGGAAATTAATTATGACAACAACTTGAATGAGTTTGAAAGTGGATTCTTCTTCATTCAAGCCTCCAAATGAAGACACAACCCAGGTAATACTTTAATTTTGGTCTGAGCTGAACAGTGCCTGGGCTCCTGACCCATAGAATCCGTAAGATTGTAAGTGTGTACTGTTCTTAAGTTATTAAGTTTGTGGCAGTTTTTTACACAGAAGAAAATCATTACAATGTATTTCTCCTTTTTTAAAAAATTATTTTATGGTTGCTTTAATAGCATCTTGAGTGGTAGCTGAGGTGACTATCTATGTAATTAGTAAGTTGGACAAACACACATGGTATATGATCAAACACACTTTTATTTCTTTGTCTCTCATCATCCTTATAGATCTATTCAGTAGGAGAAGCTTTTTCTTTCCACCAGATATACACTTTAATATGCCCAGGTATTAGTAGCATCTCAGTCACTTTACATAGCTAAGATGCTCTCAAATTGTAATTAGGAGCTCTTATATAAGGGAGCTCTGGTGGTGTATGCCTAAGACATTTGACTGTTAACCAGAAGGCTGGTGGTTCAAACCCACCAGCCCCTCCTAGGAAGAAAGATTGGGCTACCGTAGTGCTACCATCTTGGAAACCCAAGAAGGGGTCACTGTAAGTCAGATCTGACTCAACAGCATTGAGTTTTTTAGTTTGAGTTTCATATAATAATAAAAAATACAAACAATTTAACATTAAATTTTCCTTCTAATCTAAGTCCTGCTTTCAGTTGGTTGCTTGTACTCTCACATCTTTCTTCACCGGTTGACTTTTTTTTGTAGTTTTTCTTACTCTCTGTGCACTCTACCTTGAGTACTAAAGTTTCTGACCTTCCCTCCCACCAGGCTCCTGGGAAGAATGGTTCACCTGATCAGATGAAGTCACATTCTCATGGTGTCAGGGCTCTCTAGACAATAACCTCCCAAAGGATGTGTGTGTTCAAGGACTCCAGCTGTATAGACAGAACTGTTGGCTGCTGGTACACCCAGCTCTGCTCTAGGACCAGTGACAAGATGAAGCAGAGACTGGGAGGAAGTGCCCAGTGTCACTGACACCAAGGCCACTAGAGCTTTTGAAGCATCTGGAATAATAAATCTTGGTGTGAGCACTGGCATTTCTCTCATGGGTAGCCATGGGGGTGAGAATCCACCAAAGTGAGGCTGGTTTTTCTGGGCAGTGTGAGCAGAGCTGAATCTCAGGTGAGGCAATTATGTTGGAAGCATAGAAGGGGAATAGTGCTTCACACGGTATCTACTAGCCTGCTGCTCCAGATCTCATGCAAAAGGGGCAATTGCTACATATGCAGTGTTTTCCCAAAAGTACCTACAGTGTATGATGAAAGAAAACCAGAGTCTTTTGAGGCATCTCCCTGAAAGCTGAAACCAAACCTTCCCTCAAGTTGCCTCTTATAGAAATAGAATTCTGGGCATGATGAACGCTCTAGCTGACTTGAGAAAGATTTCTTAGGATTGTATGTAATTTTCAATGCCACTATGGGGCTGGACCAATGAGCAGCATCACAATAAATGGAGAGAAGATTGAGGTTGTCAAAGAATTCACGTTGCTTGGTTCTACAATTGATGCCAACGGAAGCTGCAGTCAGTACATTAGACGATGTGTAGCATTGGGAAAGTCAACTGCGAAGGAACTGTTTCAAGTGCTGAGGAGCAAGGATATCTCCTTGAGGACTAAGGTGCGCCTGACACAAGCCATGATATTTCCAATCGCCTCATATGCGTGTGAGAGCTGGACAATGAATAAGGAAGACCGAAGAAGAGTTGATGCTTTTGAGTTGTGGTGCTGGTGGAGAATGCTGAAAGTACCATGGACTGCTAAAAGAACTAACAGATCTGTCCTGGAGGAAGTACAGCCAGAATGCTCCTTGGAAGCAAGAATGGCCAGACTTCGTCTCACCTATTTTGGTCATGTTGTAAGAAGGGACCATTCCCTGGAGAAGGATGTCATGCTTGGTAGGGTGGAGGGTCAACGAAAGAGGAGGAGGCCTTCAACAAGATAGATTGACATGGTGGCTGCGATGATGGGCTTAAGTATAGCAGGGATTGTGGGGCTGGTGCAGGATCGGGCAGTGTTTCATTCTGCTGTGCATGGGGTCGCTATGAATTGGAAACGACTTGATGGCACTTAACAACAACAACATGGGGCTGCAGAAATAGACTAGGAACCAAAAATTCCCCCAAAAAAGTCCAGATTCCTTGTTACCAGCTTCACAATTTTGGACAAGTCATTTCAGTTCTCCAATTCTCCATTTCCTCATCTTTGTATTACATGTCTCCTTGGGATATTCCACTTCACTGAGCTGGGGACCAGATGAAAATGCTTTGTGAACTGAAAACTCATGCTATTATACTTCCTAAAAAATGGCTACAAAGCTATCTGAAATGGAATTTTCCATGTTTATTTCTGAAGAACTTTTCAAGTTAAGTGACTGAAGCAAAAATAAAAAGCAAAAACAACATAAAATCCAACTGGAAATTTTGGAGGAAACATCTTTTCTCTAAGATATTTTCACCAATGATTTTTTGACATGAAGGTGAATATGGCTCTTCAATTTACCTAAAGCTGCTTCATGATGTTTCCAGATGATTAGCAAAGCCAAGTGAAAGACGTTATTTTATGAAAAAGAAAGCCATATATTAGGGCAGTGAGTGGCAGGTTCAAGTGACAAACTCCAATAAAACAGATTCTTCTGCATTTACTGAGTAATTTCTGACTCAAATCACTTGAAAAATAAATCTTCTTTCCATTTAATTGAAGATAAAGGAGGCAGTGATGAAGCCTCTGAGACTTCCTTATTTTATTCCCAGACTCCTAAATCAGAAAATCCCATCTAATGCTGAGCATAATTTCTTGCCTGACATTCAGCTCTAAATGTCAAGTTGCTCCAAAAATTTCCCATTCATTTTATGGTTCCTGGTCTTATTCAGTTGATAAAAACTGAGTTAGCATGATGTCGTTTGATGAGTCTCCAGTATGAGAAAGTGCATAAGTGCCTGGAAGTGGAGAAAGAGGATACAAAGTATTGCTACTATGTTGAAATCAAATATCAGGCCAAAATATAAATAAGTCTGTTTTTAATGACTAGGAAGAGTTTTAGGAAGATGTTAGAGAAATACATAAAATGGTTTGTCAATATGCCCAGCACTTTTACTCCATTGAATCTTGGCTTTTTTGTCAAGCAGCTCTTATTTGAGAAGAGAATCACCACATTTTTCAGACATTGCTGGAGAAAGAGATAAAATATATTCTATACTACATGACATTTTGGGAAAAGAGCCTTAGTGATCACTTTGTTTTAACTGAGAGGGGAACATGTACCCCAAAAGGTAACCCTGTTGCCATTGATTCATGGCTACTCATGTGGTACAGAGAACTGCCCCATAGGGTTTTCTTGGCTGCAATCTGTCATATAACAAAATGTGTATCACCAGGCTTTTCTTCCATGGAGTTGCTTGGTGGGTTCGAATTGCCAACCTTTAGATGAGTAGCCAAGAGCCAACTCTTTGCACCACCCAGACACCTTCCAAAAAGGTAAACAAACTTATAAAAAGCACTCAGGCTGGTTGGTGGCAGTGATAAAAAGACCCAAGAGTTCTGGGCAAAGTGCTTCTTCCAGACACTTGAACTGTACCTGGAATTTAACTAATTTTCATGGGAATCTAAAATGAGTTGTCCATTTCCCTATCCTTATGAGTATATTAATATAATTTGACATGACTTGAGGCTTAGATTCTTAACTTGTAATGCAATGTCTACTTCTCTCCTGTTCTCTTCCAGAAATACTATGACTATTTGTAATGTTTAATTATTGATCTTCTAGTAGATGAATATCATAGACTTTAGTAACTCCCAGTGTGTGAACATAGGAACAATACATGCCATAGACAGAGGGGATAGTGCTCTCTCACCTTTAGGAAAACATGGATCTGAAGGTGATTCTCCATTAAAGACATAATTCACGTTAGTCTAACCACACTCAATAAACAATGCCACAGATCTCTATATATCATGTCTAACTGGGAAAATGGGAGCAGTAAGTTGTGATGCAGTTAAGGAGTAACACTTGCTGGTTTCCCAAAATTCCCCAAATTGTCTATCGGCCTTGAGCACATAATTCAGGTGAAATTTGGACATATAGCTAGCTGATATTCTCACACTTCTCAGATTAATTAAAAAACAAAAAGTTAACATCAAATTTTCTTCATATGATGTATTCATATTATCTCTTTCCATTGTTTATTACCTTTGGTTTGATTGTAACATACCTTTGTGTTTCACTGTGTTGAAAGGCTTTGGAAATTTGGGTTTGGTAGATAAATCGGATGTTTTTTGCTGCACAAAAGAAAAAAATGTCATTTTGGAAAAACATCATTTTGGATATTTATAGAGTTCTTTTAGTGATAGTCTGCATTTCCTGACTACATGATGTCACTAATGATCTGTATTCCACCTACACAACACATTAATCTTTTGTAAAAAATTGTATAAATTTAAGCCCCTTATTTCTAAGTAAATTTAGTGTTTCTGTATGTTTTTTACAACTTCTAGAATCAAGCTAGGAGCTCTGGTAGCGTAGTGCCTAAGATACTTGACTGCTAACCAGAAGCTGGTGGGTTCAAACCCACCAGGCACTCCTCAGAAGGAAGATGAGGCAATCTACTTCCGTAGTGATACTGCCTCGGAAACTGAAGGGGGGTCACCATGAGTCGGGTCCGACTCAACGGCACATAACAACAACAATAAGAAGCATCAAGCTAGAAAATAGTTTTAAAGGAATCATTATCCCTTTTTGTGACAATGCTTACATGTATTTGTTTCAATATTCCTTTGTAGAAGAGAAACCCTTGAAGAAAAAACAATACTCCTAGTAAAATTGGTCTCCAGGTAAAGATTTGCTTTACTCTTGCCCAATTTGTGAGCAATCCCTTAGTTACTGGTGCAGAAACTATACTAAACCCACCACTACCAAATCAATTCCAACTCATAGCGACAGAGTAGAACTGCACCTTAGGGTTTCCAGGCTACAAGTCTTCATGGAAACAGGCTGCTACATCATTTTTACAAAAAAAAAAAAAAATCCTTTTATTTATTTATTTATTTGGGTAAAAGTTTACAGAGCAAATTCATTTTCCATTGGACAATACATACATTTTTGTATGACATGTATTACATTTGTTGTATGACATTCATTACAATCTTCATCATGTAACAGCACTCTTCCATCTAAGGTGCAACTATTAGTCTCTTCCCAGCTGGAGCAAAGAAGAGTGAACAAAATCAAAACCACAAGGAAACAATTAATCCAAAGGACTGATGGGCCATTTGAAACCCAGCCTCTATGACACTGATACCAGAAGAACAAGGTGGTGCCCAGCTACTATTACTGACCACTCTGAAAGGGATCACAATAGGAGGTCACAAAAGGGTTCACAATAGAGTAGGAGAAATACATGGAAAAAAACTCAAAATCATAAAAGAAGGCTTACTGGTCTAATAGAGACTGGTGGAACCCCTGAAACTGTGGCCTTTGGACATCCTTTGAGCCAGAAACTAAATTCATCCCCAGGGCTCAACTTTCAGCCAAGCAATAGACAGGTCTATAAGGTGAACAACCACACCAGGGAGGTATGCACTCATTAGAACAATCAATCAAAAGGACAGCATTTGTCCAGGGATGAAGCTAAGAAGGCAGGAAGGGGTAAGAAAGAGGGACGAAGTGAAATGGTAAACACAAGAAGGAAGTGGAAAGACTGCCACATCTTTCTCCTACGAAGGGCTGGTGAGTTTGAACTACTGACTTTTGGGTTAGCAGCTAACCACTTTAACCACTGTGCCACCAGAGCTCCTTAGAAACTATACATCATTCAAAAATTTAAAAACTGAATTATCAAATGGAAATAAAATATTCAAAATAAAGCATGCATTTTGGGGAAAAGATAAAGGTGTTAAAATATACTACATCATTTTTCTGTTGATAAAATATCCTTCATGCATTCATTAATTTGATATCATGTGTTGAATAATCATTGTGTGCCAGTCACTATTGTAGGTACTGGGGATATTAGAAAGTACAAGTTCCATTCCCTGCCACAGCCCACATTATGAGGAACCCAAATCAAGATAGGAGGGAAGTGTACATATTACATATAATAGGTAGCTCAGTGAAAGATTCCTAATTCTCATTCTGATGTCATGATTACTGGCATGGCTTTAGAAGCATCTGGAATAAGAAGTCTTGACCCAACACTTTGTTTCTATAGTTAAGAAAATTGAATCTCAAAGAGACTAAATGATTTTCCTAAAATCATGCAACCACTTGGCGACAGAAATACAATCAAGTGTGCTAGCTCACAAGCCACTATTCCCAAATTCACAGCAGCACCCTCTACTATAAAATGCAGGAAACATTTTTAATTCCAATGCATAAATTCCTCATTGATATTTATTTCAAACATTTTTGTTGTCCTTTGTAAAATATCTAAATGTCCATGTGGGTTTTGATGCAGTTTTTCAGTTAACTTGTATCAAACTCAGAAATCTCTGCTTTAGAACCCTTTCTGAAAGGACCTCAGTGTATTGTTTGGGGGTGAGGAACAGGGGAGTGAATCTAAATTAACATGAAAAATACAGAATATGCATGTAAGTGCATTTGTTTCTAATTATACTTTCCTTAAATGGATTGAATTTTGGGGGCAAAGGATGAAATAAGAACCCTGTGTTTTCATATGAACCTGTTAGTTTGTAGAGTTAAGACCTAAAATCACAAAGGCTAAAGTACCAGCTTAAAAGAGAAAATTTAGAAAACAGTTTATCAAGACCTCCCCGTCTACCTTTCTAGAGAAGAAAACATGGACTACAGAGGGGCCAGGAAGCTAGGCAGAGGAGAGGGTCCCACTGGTTCAGTTGGTAGGAGATAAGACAGACTGAAGCAAACAATATTGTTCAAAGGTGTTCGCTCACAGTGAGCACCCACAGACCTTTGTGTCTGAGCACACTTACAGCTTTCCATGGCTTCACATTCATTCATTCTTTTACTCACTTACTCAGCAGCTTTCTGTTGAGTATCTACCATATCCCAGGCACTGTGCCAGGTAACAGGAATACCATGATGAAAGAAACTCAAGGGATTTACACTAAAATAGGCCTGTTGTGGGACTGCATAAATAGGAAAATGGAAACCTAGAACTTTATTCATTAGATCCATGGCAGTGGGAGGTAATTACCTCTGATGACTGCTTCCAAGATATTAATGGAGACAACTTGTCCAACAGAAGTTGTCGCACCTATAAGGATGACAAAGAAATGTTGAGGAGATACATCTATACAATCATACAAAGACACAACAAAAAAATAAACTGTGTAATTGAAATTGTTATTTATCTGTTGTTGTTGTTATGTGCCGTCGAGTCGGACCCGACTCATAGCGACCCCTCCTTGGGTTTCCTAGGCAGTATTACTATGGAAGTAGATTCCCCCCATCTTCCTTCTGAGGAGTGGCTGGTGGGTTTGAACCACCAGCCTTCTGGTTAGCAGTCAAGTGCTTTAGGCACTACACTACCAGAGCTCCTTATTTAACTGTAGTGTAAACCAAAACCAAACCAAACTCACAGCTATCGAGTTGATTCCAACTCACAGCGACCCCACTGGGTTTCCCAGGCAGTAAACCTTTATGGAAGTAAATTGCCCAGTCTTCCTTTCTAAGAGTGGCTGGTTAGCAGTCAAATGCCTTAGGCACTGTGCCTCTCAGAGCTCCTTAACAGTAGTGTACCAGATAGTATTTCTCAGGAGCATTTAATAAACTATAAATGTATATATTCAATAGAGTCATTTCCTTAGACTCTGCATATAAACAAAACTAGATCTAAACAAAGAACAACAGTACCAAAAACCTTAATGATTCAGATTTTGGACATTAGTAATTGGCAATAATTGCTAAATTGAAGTTTACCTCTGAAGGGTTTCCTAACTATATGAATGGTGCAAATGGGAATTATTTATTTCTATTAAGTATAACAAATTGCTTTTTTGTAAATAGGGGTTGTATCTGTACAACAATTGTATCAATTACAAACTATTCTAATCTTATTAAAACAAAAACTCCTTTATACTTATTCGCCAACTGCCTTCACTTCTCTTAACAGAGTTATTCAATGTTTGGGAAAAATAGCTAAGCAGATTTCATTTTTAAAGTTCTTTTTCTACTATACTTCATCTAAGATTTTTTTTTTCATTAAGCATTATATTTAATATTAGAGGCCATGGAACATTTCCATAAAACTCTATAAATATAGAAGTAGATACATAAATGGACGAAAGGAACAAAAGGGAAATCACCCCTAAGGAAGATAATTGTTGTTCTTGAATTATCACCAAACCATAATTTAAAGTAAAAAAAATGAAAGATAATGTTCACAGTACATGTTGTAATTAATTCTATATCGCTTTATTATTATCAGTCGCTGGTTAGTTCTTTTGTCTCTTGACTGAACCTGACTTTTATAAAATAATAGAATACTGTTCCAAGGGTATCCATAGTCCAACCCTCTAACTATATAAATTATGCCCAGAACTGAAGGGGAGGGATTTAAAGATGTCTGGGTTAGCGGGTAGAGCTCTGGTGGTGCAGTGGCTAAAGCACTCTGTTGCTAAAAGAAAGGGCAGCAGTTGGAACCCACCAATTGCTCTGTGAGAGAAAGATGAGGTAGTCTGCTTTTGTAAACATTTACATCCTTGAAAACTTTATGTGGCAGTTCTACTCTGTCCTATAGTGTCCTCTGTCCTATAAGGTCACTATGAGTTAGAATTGACTTGATGGTAATGGGCTTGGTTTGGTTTTTTGGGTTAGAGGTTGAAGAGAGAAATGTCTACACATACCTTACTATCCAAGAGCATTCCAAAACATAAGATGAAACACCCCTAAAAAAAGAAAAAAAATCGATCATGTGTATTTTTTTCCCAGAAAATAAGTATTTATATGTAATGTATAATATTACTATATCACTCAACATTAAGCTTATTTTCTTATCCGTCACACCATTAGACTGGGGGATCCTTGAAAAGTGTAGAAGTCACAGTGCATAGAACAACCCAAAAGTTTGGTTAAGTATATAAATAAATAAATGATTGCATGAAAGAAATCTTAAATGCACATGGAACTTCATTTTCCTCCCCACTGTGCCATCCCTAACCTGAAATGAATAGCTTCCATTTGCTTCTGTATCATAGTTTTCTTCAGACCAGGCATTCAGTAAATGTTTGCTAAGCATCTATGAAGGCAATAGAAACTCAAGTCCAATCCTATGGCTGCATAGAGGCAGTTGACCTATACTGGTATCAGTTTGTATCAGCACTCTTTCCATCAAATACAGAGAACCCTTCACAGAAGGCTTGTTGGACCTTAAAATCCTTCTTCCAATCAGAGCACCCTCAGGAGGTGCCCCTTTAGACAGTGTGTCACCTTATGTTTGCTCTCCCAATCCCTGACACTGTCCACCTAAAACTTGTTACAGTTAGGTGCATGCTCTACATGACTGTGATCTCGAACCCACTGCCATCGAGTTGATTCTGACTTACTGCAACCCTATAGAGCTTTCACCCCATAGGGTTTCCAAGGCTATAATCTTTAAGGAAGCAGACTGCCACATCTTTCTCCCATGGAGTGGCTGGTGGGTTCAAACCATTGGCCTTTTAGTTAGCAGCTGAGTGCTTAACCACTGCTCCACCAGGGCTCCTACTATTCCCTAAAGTTAACTGGTGCCTGAAGTATATGGGGAACCAGCGGCATTTAGGAAACACTTATTGAGCATTTACTATGTGCCACACACTGCTAAGTGTTAAATTATTTCATTTAATCCTCTCATTTATTCTACAATATAATAATAGTTATTGGTATTATTCCCCTTTAAGAGAGGAATTGTGGGGCAAAGAGATTATTAGGTATTTTGTTAAAGGTCACATAGCTAGTAAAGTGATATATTTGAGCTCAGATTTATGTAACTCCAGTATAAAAATCACTACTTTCCTGACTCTTCATTGTCCAGAGGTGGTCAGGTAAGACCTATACTGAACCAGAGTTGAAGGCTTTTGTTTAGGTTCATTAATACCTAAGGATTACTTTGACTACTCGCTCTCTGAAAACTCTAGTTGTGACATGCAAAACCCATCCTTTGCAGCAAAGGTTGACAAACTTTTTCCATAAAGGGCTAGAGATTAAATACTATAGGTTTTGCAGACCACACAGTTTCTGTTACAATTACTCATTTCTGCCACTGTAGAGCAAAAATAGACAATATGTAAATGGATAGGAATGGCTGTGTACCAATAAAACTTTATTTATAAAAGCAGGCTTTTGGACTGGTACAACATACGATCCTTAACCTATATGACTATGAGACCAGAAGAACTAGATGGTGCCTGGCTACCACTGTCAACCAATGGGAGGGGGATCTATGTAGGAGATCCTGGATAGAATGAGAGAACAACGTGGAATAAAACTCAAAATAATTAAAAAAAAAAAGGGAACCAGGTTTGCTGGTCTCACATAGAGCCTGAAGGAACCGCTGAGACTATGGCCCCTAGCTGCCCTTTAGGTCTGGGATTGAACCCACTCCTGTGGCTTCCAGCCAAACAAAAGACAGGCATATGAGCTGAACATTTACACTCCTTGGAGAGATCAATCATGGGAGAATAGAAGGGCTGTGTATGCACAGGGAGATAGCTTGGGGGGCAGGAGTACATGGGAGGGAAGGACACAGGGAAGAGGTAACTATAAGGAGGAAGTGGGAGAGGAGCTATTGCACTGTGGGAAATTGCCATCAATATCATGAGACAATGTATGTGAACTGCTGTATGGAAAAAATTTGCTCTGTAAACTTTCACCCAAATCACAATAAAAATTAAAACAAAAAAAATTGTTGGCAGTAAAAAAAAGAACAAGCAGGCTGTTGTCCATAGTTTGCCAGCCTCTGCTCTATTGCACTCCAGGGACTTCTTTTTCACCATTCAGAGTCCACAAATCCTCTTGATTTATTTTCCTTTCTGTGTGTGCTTTTTCACAGTGGTATGCACAAAAAAAAAAAAAAGAGGATTTAGTCAGTAGCAAGAGGGATTAATGTTAGTTATGTGAACTCTAACAGTTTAATTTAAAATCCGGGAATGGCTAGCTGAAGAGTTCAGATATTCTGTTTCAGCACGAGAGTAATCATTGAGGAAAAGTAGATTTTTTCTCTTTTGACTTTTTTCGTGCACTTTTAGTTATAGTCCTGCTGTAGACAGGGAGATGGATGAGATGGTCACTAGAGAGAACTTGGTAACCAGAATTCTCTATAATTATTCCAACTACCTGATGACATAATAGGTTATCCTTATTACTCTTACCTGGAAGGCATTGAGTAAAGCAAAAATTACATGGCAAGTCACATTCTGGCTATCCACCATTGTTCCTATGCCAAAGCCCCAAGTGAGCCCCAGCAGAGGTGTCAGAATGAGCAGGCTCTTCCCCATGCGGATGACAGTGGCCTTATCATCCTGGCTTGTTCCTTCTCCAACTGCTGGCCTCCAGAGCTTCATTAAAACTAACAGCACCACCACCAAATTCACAGCCACAATAGTCAGTGCAGGGATAACAAAAGCCAAGAGGGGTTTGCTCCCATTGGACCAGTTAAGCCAACACACATCTTTCCTTCTGTAGCCATTGCTAGGTTGTGTGACGGCAATGGTGATGACAGATATAACCAGGGGACACCCATAGCCCAGGCAGAAACCAATAGCCATCATTAAAGGCATGGCCATGTGATGGAACACGAGGATGATCCTATAAGCCAGCAAGATACCAAGCATGAGCATCCAAAAAAACAAGGAGAGGTAGAAAAAATGTGTAAAGAATACTGCAGCTATGCAGACTCCAGAAGGCTTTGCCATGGTGTCCACAGTGGCAGCAACAATAAACCAAACATCAGCAACCAGGAGGGACAGGGCTATGTTCACCATACAAATATGACGTGTGTGCGAGGTTTGGTTTTTCTTGACTTGCTTCCAAAAAAGAGCCTCAATAACCAGGCATAAGATGAGACTCCCAATGGAGAAACCCAGTCCCACATAGGTAATCCATTGCACAACAGGGATGATGGCATTGGGGACAAAAGGTGACATCAGCAGGGAGAAGGAGGTCAGGTGAGTACATCGGCACATCACTGAGTCTGGAGTTTCATTCACTAGGTGGCAGCCTGCATTGTTCCACTGCAGATGGTTGAAATCCCAAAATACACAATGAGGCTGGCTCAGGTTTGACTCTATCTTAGAAAAAATGAGGTAAATTTCATTTATGGAATAATTATGAATAACAGTTGATATTACAGGCCCATTGACCTTTGCATTTTTGATGATGGGTAGAATGCTCCTCAGGGTCAATGAAGCCATGCTGATAATAGTTTCTGGAAGGGACTTCTGGAATTGATCTGGCCCAATTAACACCTGGCCTCTAATACGAGTGGAGGTATTTGGGGAGAACATTGCAGTCTGATAGTTATAACCCTTTTTGAGTTTGCTTTTGGTCACTGGAATCCCTTTCCAGTCAATGAATTTTCTAGAAAAATTCAGAGGCAGAGCTGTTGGAGGTACCAGAGTGCTAATGTTTTCTAATGTCTCCAGTAACCGTGAGCTGGCATGCTTCTCTTCCTGAAGTAGTACTGTCCAGTTGGTTATTGATGTTGAATTAAGGACATGGTCAACTATATTGATGACATCCTAAAATACAAAGGTGAAGGTTAGTGTGTATTATGAGTAAACACAAAGAGAGTAAAAGAGTAGATACTCGTCCTTATTAATGACAGGAGAAATGCCCAGAGAATTGACACTGCTGAGGACCAAATAAAACTCTATTAAATTCAGTTGACTTGCACTGTACAGCAGGCACTTTGGGTTAAGAAACAAGTTGGGAGAACCAAATAATTACGTTTCAGGTTTTCTTAGCTATCTAGTGCTGCTGGAACAGAAACTCTATAAGTGGCTTTCATAAACAGAAATTTATTTTCTCACAGGTAAGGAGGCTAGAAGTCTGAATTCAGGGCATCAACTCTAGGGCGAGGCTCTGTGCACTCTGGGGAAAAATTATTGCATCATTCAGTTTCTCTGACATTCTTCTCTGTGTTCCTCAAAGATCTCCACATTACATTTTTCTTTCTCCCAAATTGCTTGCTTGCTTCTGTGCCTAATCTGCTCTTTGATTTTTCAAAAGTGATTGGCTTCAAATACAACCTATTCTGATAATAAAGCCCTATTCCCAAATGGAATTACATCCAAGGAAATAGTAGGCATTAGAATTTATAAAGCTCTAATAGTGTAGGGCCTAAGGCACTTGACTGCTAACCAGAAGACTGGCGGTTCAAACCCACCAGCCACTCCACAGAAGGAAAATGGGCAATCTACTTCTGCAGTGATATTGCCTCAGAAACCTAAGGAGGGGTCGCAATGAGTCTGACTCAACGGCACATAACAACAACAACAGAATTTACAACATATATTTTTTGGGGACACAATTCAATCCATAATGCAGGGTGATTACCCCAGAGCATTTGCATGTGCACTGGAATTTCAGCAAAGAGAAGAAAGAATCCCCCAGTTCTGGCTGCACAAGCACATTTCCTTCTGAGAAGGTAAAAATGGCTGTATTATTACATAGGCTGAGGCTCAAAGATTAAGACATTTCTTTTAACTGCTTTCCTGTATTACATATTTTACTTACATCAGAAGTTCTAAATATATGTCATGAACATTCACATTTTAATTTACATTTTTGTATGCTGTGTCATTTACCAAAGAGCTGAGTCCAACTCATCGTAACCTCATAAGGTCCATGGCTGTAAATCTTTATGTAGGCAGACTGTGACATCTTTCCCCCACGGAGTGGCTGGTGAGTTTGAACTGCCAACTTTTCAGCTTGCAGCTGAGTGCTTAACCACTGTGCCACCAGGGCTCCTTTGTTGTTTATTAGAGAATATAAATAAAAATCCTTAAAAATTGAGCTTGAGCAAAAAGAAAATATTGAGTTGTGAGTTTTAAGGGTCAATTTTAATTTGATGTCCCCTGGGCAGTGCAAATAGTGAATATGCTCACCAAAAGGTTGGAGGTAGGAATCCATTCAGAGGTACCTTGAAAGAAAGGCCTGGCTATCTACTACCAAAAAAAAAAAAACAGTCACTTAAAACTCCATGGAGCACAGTTCTACTCTGATACCCATGGGGTGGCGTGAGTCGACATCAGCTTGGACTTGAAATATATACAAAACCAAAACCAAACTCACTGCTGTCGAGTCAAATCTGACTCACAGTGACCCCTCCTTGGGTTTCTGAGGTGGTATCACTACAGAAGTAGATTGCCCAGTCTTCCTTCTGAGGAGTGGCTGGTGGATTTGAACCACCAGCCTTCTGGTCAGCAGTCAAATGCCTTAGGCACTACACCACAGAGAGGGAGAGAGAGAGAGAGGGAGAGAGAGAGAGACTTGATATATATAGTCATATAATTATAGATTGAGGGCAAGTGGTATTCTGGTTTTAATTTCTTAATTTAAGGTGTTTGTTTTTTTTTTTTTAGCAAATGCAACAGGCCTCTTTCCCTGGGGTTCCCAGCTATTTGACCTTGGCAGTCTTGTTGTTTTAGTCAAGTTTCATGCTAACCCAGCTCTCTGGGGCTTCAGGCCCAGATTTCAGAGAGTACATCTTACGTTGTCCCCCAGTAACCTCTGCTTTCTTTTGCTTAGTGTTTGCTTGCTCTGTTTTTGCTCTTCATTTTATTTTTATCTTTTTTGAGTCATTTTATTTTAGTTCATCTCTTATAAACAACATGGGGCTAGATTTCTTAAAAAAAAAAAAAATCTGAGTATCTTTTCTTTGATCTAAGTAAATTAACTTATTTATATTTAATGTCATCTTTGACATGATGGTCACTATAAGATAGTTAAATATAGATCTGTGAATATGCACTGTTTTATATGACAGACATAATACAATTTTGCAGTAATATAGTATAATTTCTATATAATATGCATACATCTAGGATGTTTGGAAGGATATTTATTTAACAAATATTTGTTGAGTTACTGCTATGTGTTGCTTGTCTTTCTTCTAGGCACTGAGGTTACATCTAAAATATTAGCAGTGGCTATTGTAGGTTGACTGTATTATAGATAATTTACTTTCCTTTCTGCTTATTTGCATTTCTTATATGATCATATAGGTGCTCTGGTGGCATAGTGCCTAAGGCACTTGACTGCTAATCAGGAGGCTGATGATTCAAACTCACCAGCCACTCCTCGGAAGGAAGGTTGGGCAATCTACTTCTGTAGTGATACTACCTCAGAAACCCAAGGAGGGGTCACTATGAGTCTGATCTGACTCGATGGCAAAACACAACAACAATATATGATCAGATATTATTTGTATAGTTGTTTATGTTAATTCTGAAATACCCAAGCTCAATCATGAATTCCCCAACCTAGAGGAGGGACTTTTGAAAAATATATACTACTAAAAGTCAGAGTTTAGGGCTACAAGAAATAACAATTATAGATTGCAAACATATATTAAAAAGTTGGCACCTATGTCAAATAGTGCAAAGGCTCATCCCTTCCTCTAATCCAGGTACTGCCTGGGTAATCTGCTGTGATGGTTAAGGTTGTGTGTCAACTTGGCTAGGCCTGGTTGAGGGGCGGGCAGCTGGATGTAGTTATTAGCCACAGTGAGACTGGTAATTACCTCCATGATGCAATCTACTGGAACAGCTGAGTAGCTGCTGTAGGTATGTGGACTGCTTCCAGTAAAGAAGAAGCAACTCTGACGAAGATCTCCAACTGATGACCTGCTTGAACCCTGTATGTAGTTGAGTCATTGTTCAGCAGCCTGCCATGTTGCCCTGCCAAACCTGGGACTTTTAATGGACTTGAGTTAATGGCCTTCCATGTGGTTTAGTAATATTGGGACTGTGCCTTTTCAGTTGTTGATCTTAGGTTTGTCACCCTTAGCAACTAGCAGCTGTCTGAGTGAAGAAAAGCCTCTAGCTTCAGTGGGTTGGAACAAGAGGCAGAGTTGAAGCCCAAGATTGAGGGGCTTTTACCCTGCCCCTAGAGCCTGGCACCTGGAACTTGACTTCCAACCTCCAGAATTGTAAGAGAATAACCTCCTGTTTTTTAAAGCCATCCCATTTGTGGTATATTCCTCTCACAGCAGCACTAGGTAACCAAAGTCACCTACCTAAAGGTAGCTCCCTCTTACTTTGAACTTACACAATTGATCTCATGAGTTCCTTGTACACCGCAGAGAAAGCAGTGAAGCTCACATTAGGACTGCTAACATGACACTTTGGTTTTTCCTAATAGTTCCCCATCATTCAGGTTTTTGTCATCCCTCCTATGAGATCGAGCACTTAAAGTAAACAGTTAAAGCACAGGCAGACCATACCTCCATTGTAGAATTAGACACCTTGAAATGATTTGCCAATGACAGAGATGAAACATTTCCTAGAATAGACACCACTGAAGCTAGGTTCCCGGCTGTGCTTGAGAGGCTTTGTTCAATGATGACTGAAAGATTTCGTACCAAGGATGACATGGCTGCCTCGGTAGCATTGCCTGAGATTGCACTGAAATTCTAGAAGTAAAAAATAGTCTTAAGTTCTAGAAAACAATGTATTATCTAATTTCAATCAGATTTCTTGGCCACATATAACTTACATTTGCATCATGCACTATAAGTAAGATGACTACATGGTGATGGTAACAACAATGGCTGTTTAGTTTTTTATGTCTCAGACACTGCACTAAATGCTTTGCAGGGATTCACTGAATCTTTTCAACAACACTTGATGGAGGTATTTCATTTTGTAGCTAGGGAAGCTGAAACTTGAAGAGATTTGTTAATAAGCATTTTCATATAACTTATTATTGCTAATTATAAAGAAATTGATGTTCAGTGAGATTCTATGACCCTCGAAAGAGTACACAGCTAGTAAGTGGAAGGGTAGTGTCTATTGACACTAAATCCTATGTTGTGTCTACTACACTACACTTAAAAACCCTTATAGGATATGAAGATAGAGGAAACTACCTGGAGATTTGACTACTAGGCCTAGGTCAGCTCTCATTGTTTACTGGCTCTGGAGTTTTCCTTCTCCCATAGAACTCTCATCTGCGTCCACTATACTGTGCTTACTTGGAAGGCAGTAAAGGAGGGTGGTCTCCTTCAAATCAATCCTGTGTTCACCCAAAAGCCCAGATCCCACCTGTCCTCCTCCTTGCTCTTCAGCTGACAGTGCTGTTCTCTGCCCAGGGCATGTGAGATCTGCCTGCCCCAATACTCCTCTGCCAGGCAAGTGTGGCCCTGGGGAGGACTAGTCTCAGATATTGCCCATGCTCATAACTGAGTCAAAGAAGGCCAGAGCAAGAATGCAGCCAGGAGGTCATGGAGTCCAATCTCTCTCCCCAATTTGCAGATATGGAAACTGAAGCCTAGAAAGGGAGAAGGAAACATTCCACAGCCCCTTGATAAATACCAGTCCAGGGATCTTAACTTCAATAGTGGGGTCTCCAGCTGGGACAGAAGTTCCACTCAATACAGATTCACTTGTAGGATGGTGACTACGAATCAGTCTCAATGTCCCTCTGCTTTGTCACTTGAGTTCTCCATCTGTCACCTTCTTTCTATCTACATTGCCTTGCATTATTGACAGACACCCTGGTGGTGCAGTGGTTAAGGGCTCAGCTGCTAACCGAAAGGTCAGCAGTTTGAATCTATCAGCTGCTCCATGGAGAAAGATGCAGCAGTCTACATCTGTAAAGATTACAGACTTGAAAACCTTACTCTGTCCTATAGGGTCACTGTGAGTCAGAATTGACTCACGGTAGTGGGTTACAGACAGTCATGTGGAGGTCAGAACACTGAACTGGGAATCAAGTAATCATGTTTCTAGTCTCAACACTATTGCTAGCAATATGACTTTGTAGCCTCTTGGTCTTCCATTTCCTAATCTATAAAAGGAAGTTGGTAAATCAGATGGCCCTTATGATCCATTGCAACTCTGTCGTTTCATATGATCACTTCTGTCTGACCCACTTCTTGTCCCAGTTTCTGATATGTGTACATTCTTATTTGATGGGGCAATCTACTTCCATAGTGATACTGCCTCGGAAACCCAAGGAGGGGTCGCTATGAGTCGGGTCCAACTTGATGGCACATAACAACAACAACTACCTTCTGACTCACACTTTCAGTTTGACCTTTCATTCTCAGCCTTCTGGACTTATGTGGCCAGCTCAGTTGTTGTCCTACCATTTGTCATATACCTCCTCAGCTCCAATGCACTCCTCTGAAGCACCACTACCTGCCAAAATCATCAATTCTGACCTTTTCTGACCCTCTCAGCTCCTACCTAGGCTCTGCCACTCATGTCCACATTCCCTTGCTTTACCAGGGTCTGAGCCTGGCTGTCTACTCCTGAAAGTTTATAGCCACTGAAAACCGTATAGAACACAGTTCTACTCTGACACACATGGGATCACCCTGAGTTGGAATCAACTCGACAGCAAATGGTTTCTTAAAATTTTCTTGGATAACACCCTGACCTTTTGTACACTGACCAATGGTGTAGATTGATAAATTTTAACCTCTACTTGACCATGCTTTCTGGAGTACACCCACTGTAAAACTCAAAACCATGACAAGTCGGCCAAGTAGAAATGCTTCACCTTCTTGAGTTCCTCCAGCTGAGAAAGAACACAGGTCTCCTTGATGACCTGCCACCCAGAGGACTGGCACCTGGCTGTGATGTTTCCAGTGTAGCCACTGCTACAGGGCAAGGTGTACTCATCATTCTTGGACCCAAATCCAAAGACAATGTTGTTACACGGGGCTGGAAAAGAAAGGAAATAGAGGAGAAACATGACTTTGGAGTGCCCTGGACCTCTATGTAAATCATGTAGACATATTTAAATGCTTTGAAAGTCCTATTTTCAGAGACAAAATCCAGGCAGAAATGAGAAGAGGGAAAAGTTTATCTTTGATGCCTGGGTTCTTCCCTATTAGCATCCTTTCCTCCTTCTTAATGCCAAGGCTTGCCCCTCTCCCTTCAGGTGTCAGATCTATATCTACAATCTTGCTTTCAATGGGCTGTTTACTACCAAATATGAGGTCAAAATAGGGCAAGTTGTGATGATTCTTAGGTAATATTTGCACTCTTCAAGGGAATCCAACAAAATAAGGAAATTATTGAGACCCTAAAGAACAAAACAGTAAAGATATGTTCAAAAGATGGGCCATTGTTATTTGGAGGTGATACCTCCTACTTTGTATCCCTTTAAAAGCTTATCCTATTGTGGCCAACCACTACACTAGCTCTTCTTGCAGCCAGCTTAGTAGTATATATTTACCATGATTCAGACTGGGAGATAGAAACATTGAATGGAAAATCTACAAGGGTGTGATTGTGTTTGTTTTTCCCCACTACTATGTCTTAAGTGCCTAAAACCCTGTTTGGCACATTTCAGACACTTGGTATGTTGTTGTTGTTGTTGCATGCCATCGAGTTGGTTTGTTAAATAATGTTGTTGGAAGAAAATGGTACAAATTTTGACTGAAAATGTTTAAGTTTGACTATAAAGAAGTAAAAGGAAAATCAAAATATCTGAAGAAGTGTGTGTGTGTGTGTGTGTGTGTGTGTGTATGTGTGGAAGATCTATATCACCTTTTCCAAACACTCTAAAAGACCATTTTTCTTGGTTCCTTGATTTATGATTTAAAACCATTATCAGTCCCAGGGCTTTCTGGACATGTATACCAGTAAACTATTGCTGAATCATTATAATCACAATCTGCAGGAAAATCAGTCTTCCATGATATTTATGCTAAGAGGTAGAGATCAGATTACTGTTTAGCAAGGATCCTGTACAATCAGTAGAAGCTGGGTTTCATCATAGTATTGGTAGTCGTTGGATGGGAACAGCTGCCCATTTCTACTGGAAATCGGTTTTTGAAAAATTCTGTATTGTAAATATCTCCAATCTACTTCTTGAGGATGCAACTGAGCTACTAACTAAAGGACTCCTTCAATCTAAGCAGAGAGTAGGAAATCAGTATTACCTTTTCCAAACACTTTGAAAGAGCCATCTGCTAGTGCAAACAACTTGTTAAGGGCTGCCATAGCCTTCTCAGCTACCTGTTCAATGGCTGACAGCAGTTCAGATGGGCTGCTGGAACCAATGACTTCATATCCAGCAACGATGCTTCCTTCTCTGCAATAAGCATGTGCAAAGAAAAATGAGATTCATTCAATTGTTCATTCATTCATTCAGTGCTTACTCTGTACTTGCGTGGCATTGAGTCCACAGGAATAAACCAAATAGATTTGATCCCTGCCTTCATGGAGCTTGCATTCTATCAGAAAAGGCAAGTAAGAAACAAGTTACCACCAAATACATACAGCTGATTGTTGTTACTTTCAGTAGTTATGTTTCATAAAGTCATTGTGAACACTGAATTTGCAATACTGAACCATCACTCCTTATAGTTATACTGAACTATAAGGTTAGGTTCCTGTGAGCCTCTGGTCACAACATTGTCATCAACTGACAGATACATATTTTGTTTTTATGTGTGTTTCTATTTAAAGACATCTTATTTAATATATATTTCTGATACATCAACATTGAACTCATGTCCAACTGCACTATAACTCATGACTGTACAAAGCTCATCTAACAATGTATTTTCTCCATAAGGCACATCACAGCTGTACTCTTGAGGGGTATTATTATTATTATTATTATTTCAGATGTATTGATGCCTGGACCCCACCCCAAGAGATTCTTACTTAAGTGTCTGGGATATGGCTTGGGCCTGTTTGTGTTCTGTACTGTCAAATTGATTCTGACTGATAGCAACTCTACATGACAGAGTAGAACTGTCCAATAAGATATCCTAGGCAATAATCTTCATGGGTGCAAATCATCAGGTATTTCTGCCACAGGTGTTGATGGCTTTGAATTGCCAACCTTTCAGTTAGCAGCCAAATACTTACTTGTTGCACCACCAGGGCTCCATTATTTTTGGAAAAACCTTTTGCTGTCAAGTCAATAATCATTCATGGTGACCCAACAGGACAGAGTAGAACCTCCCTACAGGGTTTCTTAACCTGTAATGTTTATGGGAGCAGATTGTCAGGTCTTTCTCCTCAGAGGCACTGGTGAGTTTAAACCCTTGGGGGTCATTTTAAATAGCAAATGAAAAACAAAATCAGAAAACATGGCACTAAATAGATCACTCAAAGGACACTTGTATTTAGTATGAGAGGTGAAACAAGAAGGCAGAGAGCATTGCCTTCTTTGACCTCAGCTGGGAATGTTCACGGCAAGAAACTCAATTTTGCATAGGTCTGTGAATGACTGGAAAAGTGATATAGCTACTGATTTGGGGTTACAAATAAATTTTAGTGAGGAGCTGAATTCACAAATATGAAATTTACAAATAATGAGGAGCAACTGTATATAATTATAAATTTTGCAAAGTATTAATGAGAGATGTGAATAGGTACAGTGATAAGAATAGCAGGTAGGGGTGAGGCCCCACTGAAATGTGTCTGGTCAGGGGAGTTTTCTCTGTGAGGAGGATCTTTGAAACCAATGCCAAAGAGACAAAACAAAAGGCCAATCACATAAGAGCACTGGGTTATAGAGAAAATTGCACCTGTGAAGGACCTGGGGCAAGAAAAAACTTGTGAGTTTGATAGACTTAAAGACTTGTATGACTTACATTTAATGAGCAAGGAAGAGAGTGGTAGGAGGTGATCTAGGAGAAGTGGCCAGGAGCCAGATCACATAGGGCATTAAAGTTTGGATTTTATTATTTATTAAAAAGGTTTTATTCTTTATTAAAATGAAGTGGCATAAATTAAAAAAAAATAAGATTTCTTTTTAAGATCATCACTCTGGTTGTTGTGTAGGAAAACAGGAAAAAAAAAAGGAGGCAGTTACTGAAGCTGAAAGACTAGTTAAGAAAGAGATGATAGTGGCATGAACTAGTTGTGTAGTAGTTCAGTGATGAGAAGTGCTGAGATGCAGGTGGTTA